AACATTTCCAGAGGGTTGATAGATTAGCAGAACTCTGGCGCCTTCTTTCCCCTTGCTGGCTGTGCAGGAAGATTAGCCAAGTGAGGCAGAAATGCTGCACAGCAGCACGTAGTGCAAGCACTGGCTCTGCTGGGGCACATGTGATGCTGGAATGCTTTGTTAATTCAGTAAAGGTAGTTAGTAGGATAATGTAATTAAAACAATTACAATTCCAAGCAAAAGCTAAAAGCAAGTGATGTGCTGTGCCTTGTTGCTTTTTTCAAGTACTTTATGGGGCTTTCTTTTATTTTTGCAGTGATATTGTTGTCCAGATCGTAGATGCTAGAAACCCCCTTCTGTTTAGATGCCAAGATCTGGTAAGTAAACCTCTTTATTGAATGCTGTCTTCATTTTATTTCTTAGGATTTATGACTTGTTTTTTTTTTAACACATTAAGCCACCTTGAAGTTGTTCTGCTGTTGTGCCTGGATATCTTATTTATTTGTGCAAGTATTCTGGCATACAATTATTTCTCTTCAACAATTTTTGATGTTTCATGCAGAGTGTTGTGGATTTAGAGGCAGTTCTGCAGATGTTATATTGCACATACTGTATGACTCCTCATTACTGTATGACTCCTCATTACTCACAAGAAGTGTCCACACTTAAAGGAATGGTACCGTTTAGAAGCTTAGTGGGTTAAAGATGGGTGAGAATTACTGTGCTGGAAGCAAAGGATCAAAAATTATTGAAGCGACAACTTTAATGACAGGCTGTGGAACACTGTGCATCCATGAGATACAGAGTTGCTCAAATAGTTGAAGTTAGGAGTTCCTGCTGTGAGGTGCTGATTAGTGTCTTCTTGTAGCTCTAAGCACACAAGGTGTTTGCACACGTGGCCAGAAACAACCTGTGTTTGAGTTGCATGCTCCAATTTGTCTTTGTAGCTGTCTGCTAAACACGGGTTCCATCTAGCCCTGGGGACAGTAAGCTTAGCTGCACCTGTATGGAGCTGGATGGGATAACTTGTCTTGCTGCTCTTATCACCTTGAGGAGAGGAGGAGTCCAAACCAGAGTACAGGCTGATCCTTCTCTTGTTTTGTTCAGGAAAGCTACGTTAAGGAAGTCAGCAATGACAAGGAGAACATGATCCTGATAAACAAAGCAGATTTGCTGAGTGAGGAGCAGCGGGCTGCTTGGGCCCGGTTCTTTGAGAAGGAGGGCATTAAGGTGGTGTTCTGGTCAGCCTTGGCGGAGTGCAGGAGGCTGGCTGGAGAAGCAAAGGTACTGTATGACCAGTTCCAACTGGGTGTGTGCTTTGTACTCATGCTTGTGCTATACCTGAGTGCCTTTCTAGGAAAGGCACAGTCCTTGTTGGGAAGGATTATTCTAAGGACCTGTGTGGCTGTAAACCAGTGTTTTAATGATTGATTCAGAGACAAAGTGAGGAGAGTAAAATGGTTAACCCAGTGGTACACCCTTTAGTCACAGTAGTGCTTGCCATTTCAATTTCAAGGTTAATGACAAGATATATAATACTCAACTAGAATGTAAATTTGTTCCATGAGGCTGTGGATGAGTAGCCACAGAAATATACCTTGTAGATTTTTTTTGCAAACTCTTTAACTCATTGGCAGGATTGGAATCCTTTCCAAGAGGGATGCTGTGAGGGGTGTGGTTATCTGTAGAGGGTTTTTCTCTCCCAGGGTGGGGAGGTGTTTTGTAGAGAACCTAAAGTACCTGAGAGCCTTTCTTTGCCCAATGAAACAAACTGTGCTGCTGTCACAACTTACACGTTATCGATAGATGCTGCTTTCAGGTTTTATTGGGTTAATCTGTTACAATCATCACTGTTCAGCTATGGAATATCCCATGTCTCCTTCCAAAAATACCTGGTCTGTTCACGTATGGAATACTCTTCACACAGGAACTAGAGACTGAAGATTTAGCAGAGGACCTGAGTGATTCTGAAGATGAAAGCTCCAGTCAAGAAGAGGACACAGCACCAGATAGTACAGAAAGCTCATCCACAGGCAGTGCTTTGCAAACTGTAAACCAAGTTCTGGTTAGTGATGATGACAGTGATGAATATGAAGACTGTGAAGAAGATGAAGAGGAGGCCTGGCAAACCTGTTCTGAAGATGAAACAGGGGACCAAGTAAATGCTGTTGCTGCAGGGAGGATGGAAAGCAGAACTGATGGTACTGCAGTGCAGCATGTAGTGCAGGAGCAGAACAGGAACATCAGGAACTTCAGCCATCTGGTACAGAGAAATGAACTGCTGGAGATATTCAAAACCATGCACAATGGACCAAGGGTGAAGGATGGGGAAGTAAATGTTGGGCTGGTGAGTTGGATTTCATGCTTAAATGGAACCTGCTGAATCTAGATTTTAATTCCCTATGCCTTCTTTGGGAAAAATGAATCCTGTGTCCTGACTTCCCATAAAGGTAAAAAAAACTAGCAAGCACAAATCACTGCAAAGATTAATTCATAAGTTCCTGGGGCTCAGTGTTCCCCCCTGCTTGTCTTTATGTTTTTAGTACATTTTCTTAAAGTACTTTTGTTTCAGAGCTCTGCCAGTCTTCTGACATCACCCTGCCTGATATCACTGTTAACCATTCCACTTCTTTGTCATTTAGGTGGGTTACCCTAATGTTGGCAAAAGTTCAACCATCAACACAATCCTTGGAAATAAGAAGGTATCCGTATCTGCTACACCAGGCCGTACAAAACACTTTCAGGTATTGCTAACAAAGAACATTGATTTTCTTACATTTATTTTTTTTCCACCGTGGAACAGAGCTTAATTATTACCTAGTTGTGACCAGACGAACTCACTGAGAACTCTGTTCACCACCTTGAATTCTGCCCAGCAGAATTAGGTTAGAGAGGAGTGGGCTTGGTGTATATAATTTTGGAGCTACAGTTCCTGCTTCCAAACTCTAGCTACAGTTTGAGAGTCACTCATGAGAACTGCTGTGCAATGGGAGGTATTTTCCATCTCCTGATTTTATGTAGGTAGCTTGGCCCTTATTTTTTAAACACCAGTCAGGAGCAAACCTCTGAAAAGTGAGTGGTTCTGTGAATAGCTCAAGGTCAAGCTTTGAAACCATTCTTCTTGTCCACAGTAACTGCTATGGATAAGTCTAGTTATGCTGCCGTGTTTGAGCTTTTAATTTTGAGGTAGCAACTCCAATGCTGTCATGAGCCCTGTGGGATTTGTATTAGCGCAATCTTCTCCTACCTGTTTAAACAGGTCCAACAGAGTTAAAGGTTTCTGGAGTGCTTTCTCCTCTCCCATCAGACTGGAGAGCTGAAGGTCTTGCTGCCCCCATCTGGACACCTTAGTTATGAACCTTGGAAGTGCTGCTGTTTCCACATCAGATTTCTTGGTTGAGGCCAGCAGGGTAGATGTCTGTGTTAGTAGAATTTCTGCTTATTCTCATTTGCATCCTTGTTCCATCTATGCATTTGATTTATTTGTTGTTGTTGTTGTTGATTTTTCCTCCATGGACACTGACTTGCCTTGGTGAACTCATTGGTTGTTTGTTGTGTAGACCCTGTATGTGGAGCCTGGCCTGTGCCTGTGTGATTGCCCTGGTCTGGTGATGCCGTCTTTCATCTCTACCAAGGCAGAAATGATTTGTTCTGGAATTCTACCTATAGACCAGATGAGGGACCATGTCCCACCCATTTCTCTAATATCCTTTGCATGGGATTTGTGAGACCATCTGCAGGCACTGGATCTGGGGCATGCAATGTAGCATGTTCCAGTCCAGCTAGAGGCACACATGCTCATCTCTTGAGGGTGGTGGGGACACACATTTGATAAAACGGCCCTGCTGTTTCCCCATTTCAAGTTTGTCTTATTGTCAGACTTCCATTGCTTTTCTGGTGTGTGAACCAGTCCAGAAGTCATTCTGAATGTGTGATCTTGGAGTGACTAGGGCAAGGTTACTTGTGTAGCTGAAAATCACCACATGGCTTCCTTCACTAGCTTATGTTTGCCAGCATATCCCACGAAACATTTTGGAAACAACCTATGGAATAAATATCATAAGGCCAAGGGAAGATGAGGATCCAGATCGAAAGCCAACAGCTGAAGAGCTGCTAACAGCATATGGATGTGAGTGATATTCCCTTTAATACCTCCTGCCCATTCTATGTGCATGGTCCTGAGCATGGCCTTAGGAGAACTTTTCAAAGTGAGGCCCAGCTCAGGTTTGGTGTTCATTGAAGCTCCCCATGAGGTCTTGCCCTCCCCTCAGGAAGGATCTTTGTTAACATCTAATCTCGTCTCTGCATTGCAGAGGTGCTTTGCCAGCTTTGTGTGACTGATGTAGTGAATGTGTTGAAGATGTTGGTGAAACGCCCTGCCAGTCTGTGTTAGGGTGGTGTGAGGCTCTCATCCTTTTAGATACCTCCCTTCAACTGTGTCTTGAATTAGACTTTGAAGAATGCAGTGGTTTATCTCCCTTGTCTGGTTCTCTGATGCAGTTAATCTTCTCTGGCCTTAAGACAACCATAAAAAAGAAGCAGGTTTTCTGGTGGTAGAGAGATGTCACCTCTCATCATTCCTTTCAGGTTAGAATGCTTCTGCAATCAACAACGTTGCCTTTTTCTTCTGCTTTCCCTAACAGAAGCCTCTTTCTAAGGGAGCTTTTTTTGAGAAAGGAGACAAATATGCAGTTAGGCAGCAGAGAAGAATGTGTTGATTCTCTTGTTGTGTTGGTACAGAATGCACTTTGGATTTATCTTCCAGATATGAGAGGCTTTATGACATCACATGGACAACCAGACCAGCCAAGGTCAGCTCGATATATCTTAAAAGACTATGTCAGTGTAAGTGCTTCCCACATCTGAGTTTTCTTTCCTGCTAGGACATGAATCAGAGGTTTCACTGGAGCATGAAGGAGCACAAGATAGTTAATTATATTTCTCTGGATTAAATCACTATATATCAAAATACTCTTTAAATCAGGCTATTTTTATGTTCTGAAAGAATAATTCAGTTTCTCAAGCTGCTCAGTCTTAAAAAGATGGTTGCTTAAAAATATAGTGCTGGCCCAATAAATTATCATCTATATAAAATTGGCATCAGTCAGTCAGGAAACAAGCCCATATTATATAGTTGGATGAGTATTTGGCACTAAGGCCTGTAGTTTTGAGTGTTGTAATATTGGAAGCTTCTACAGAACCTTTTGGTGACTTGTTGCTGAGCATTTCTCAATAGAATCCTCCAGTACTCCTGAAAGTTTTGCTCTGTTTTGTTTGCAGCTGGATTTTGTAGTTGGAAATGGTGCTTTGAAGTAGAGGTGGAACAGTACTTGAACTCAGAAGTTGAGCCAGTTGTTGCCTGGGAGGAGACATAAGTGTACTGGTACTTAGTCTGCCAGTGTGAGCTTCTGGACTTCCAGGGCTGCCCTTAGCTTTGGAGTTGTTTTCATTTCTCTCTGGATCAGTCTCTGAGGTTTTTTGTACTAACTGTATCCTACTGCTTTCACAGGGAAAGCTGTTGTATTGCCATCCACCTCCTGGCATTGACCCAAATGATTTTCAACACCAGCATCAAAGGTGCCCAGAGAACAGAACCGTGCAGGCCAGTGGTCCTGTGAAGCCTGAGAAGAACACAAAAGCAAAACAAATTGAAAATGTGGTGGACAAAACATTTTTCCACCAGGTAAATTCTGGAGATTTATTCTAAGAGTTTTTTTTCTGCAGTGCTGGTGGGGGTTGAGGTGACTGTGTTAGATGCAACTGGCACCTGCATGTAGTTTTTAGCCAAGTGTGCTCTGTTCTTTTTATTATCTCCTAAATCACTGGGAATGTCTTAGGTGACCGAAAGATAACTAATGAAGTGTGTGTAGTTGATTTTTAAAAGGTCAGTGGGGAGATCCTTGTCATTATGGGCCTAACATCAATCTTGAGTAAACAGGAGAGTGACTGGGAAGAAAGTTAAAGCAAGGACAGTGGCATGACACAGCAACTGGCCAGGCTTTGGACTAACAGGTCCTTCAAACTAACTTTCCTCTTTTGAGATGATGTACTTAGGAGTCATGATAAGCTTCTTTAAAACAATTGATTTAGTCCTAGGTGGCTGTTTGGCTCAGAACCTGAAATCAGATGAAAGGAACACAGAAATAGATTTAAAATATAATTGAGACATCTCAGAATTAATTGGGACATAAAAATTTTTCTTAACTTACATGCTTCTTGTTAGGTTCCACAGGGATCTTTTTTGCCCCTGCACTACTGAAAAAAACTGACTTATTAATGACTCATAATTAAATGTCAAATCCATAACTGATTACGTCTGCATACCTGACAAAGTTCAGAACAGGGAGTTAGCAGTGAAGAGGATGGGTCATAGGTTGTGTTATCCTTTCTGCTTGGTTAGCTAGATATGAACAGTATTTGTTTCAGCACTGCTAAAGATGGTCATGCATTTTGAAAACAAGAACTCGGGCTCTCTGCAAAAAACAGTGAGCTGTCTCAGAAAATTAAGACCTGAAAAGAATTTTTGGGATTACCAGACTCTTCTTCTGGCTGCCTTAAGAGCTGGCACAGGGAATGCTACCCATGCTCCAGACTTGAGCAAGTTATTTTAGTCTCTGGCTTTCACAGATGCCGGATGTATTTGCAAAGACAGTTTGTTGTGTGCAAAGCAGAGACTGTGGGAATCCACCCTAGCACCATAGCTCATGTCTGTGGGAGCCCAGTGTCCTCTCAGTGCTCTGCCTCTGCTGTAGTGGCACAGCCAGGCCTGGCTGCAGACAGAACTGGAGTGTGCTGGCAGGCTTGGGCTCAGCTGCGTGGTGTGACCTTTCCTGCAGCTCTGGAGATGCGGGCTGAGCAGGTCGTGATGGGTTTGAGCTTGCCTGTGTCTGGTTTTATTCATGTGTCACAGGCTCCTTGTGGTTAGATTGGTGATTATGTCTCCTCTTCTAGGAGAACGTTCGTGCCCTGGTGAAAGGAGTTCGGGCTGCAATGGGATATCGGCCCGGCAGCGGCCTTGTGCCTGTGACTGCACCCAGTCCTGGGAATGTGGTAGGAAAGCCCTGGAAAAAACATGGGAACAGGAACAAGAAGGAGAAAATTCGCAGGATCACTAAGCACCTGGAGGCTTAGCTGTGGCACCAGTGTCTGGCATTTCTGGGGCAGGGATTGAGTTGTCCTGCAAACCTGAACTGAAGGGGGGGAGAAAGAGTAAGTGAACATTGCTAGCTCACCTGGGAGCTCCATGGTATGGATTGGTCTGGGCAGTGGGTAAGAGTGGGCTCTGATAGCTGGAGTTCATCCCTTCTGAGAACAAAAGAGACCTGGCCGTTCCTGGTATTTGGAAGCCAGCCAGATGTCTGACTGCTGCTGAAACATCCTTTCAATGGGAGTAGGTGAAGCCATGTGGGAATGTTTTTTCCTTCCAAAAATGATGTATTTTATAAAGCAAGCCCTGTAAAACTGACTAAAATCTGTAAACAGTTGAATTTCAGTGAGTGATATTTGTTAGAATTTGAGACTCTATTGCTCATCTCCTTTTTCCTTTTTTTTTTTTTTTAAGCTTCTTTGTTGATTTGAGAGAACACTTTAATGTGTTGAAAAGTGAAGTAAAAGGATCTTTATTGCCCTCTTGGTTCTGTGCTATACCAGCTGTATTCTGTAGAATCTGGTGCTGAAACCACTCCCTGTCTGCCAGGCTTCAGGCAGAGCACGGCACACTGTGCAAGGAAAATGCTGCTTTATGTCCTTCACACTGAGCTGGTATCAGTTGTTTTTCTGTGTGACTTCCCATTGGTACTTTAAAACATTAGCTCCGTGTGACTGGCCAAAAATCTGGTGCTAATTTGTCCTATAATATATTTGAGATTTTACTACCTTTGTGTGGTGTCATGTTCTGTCTGACTTGTCAAGCATTGATCTAGAAGTGTCATAATGACAGATTTCAGTTAGTATCTTAGTATTTGATAATAAAAGTACTGTATTTACTTAGGGACAACCTTGGTTGCCCTGCCCTTGGTCAGTGCTTTTCATTCCTAGTCCAGCACAGGACTGGGAAGGCTCTCAAAGACACATTGTGCTTTTTTTATTTTTAAGATGGTGAAGTAGAGTAACAGGACACTGGTCTCTGATACTAAAAAAGGGATTGCTGTCTTGTAATTTTGTACTTTCTAGGCTTTAAGTATGGATGGAGAGATGAAAGCAGCTGCTGAGCAAAGCCACAACAGATGTGGGGAGTGCAACTGAACTCCCCACAACTGGTTTTGGCTTTTTGACCCTTTGTGTGTATGTCCTATAGAGCCAATTTGCACTGTGTATGCAGAGGGTCCCCTGACAGCAGAGCTCTCACCTTGACTCCTGCTTCCCCTGGAGCCCCTGCTCTCAAGTTCTTAATTACATCACTGGAGGGAAGATATTTCCCTGCTATCTGTAAAACTAAAACATGATTATACTGAGTTAATATAGTATTTAAGTCAGTGTACCATAGCAGAAAGTACATTCTCAGGAGAGAGTATTTAATCCTGTTCTCCTAAGGAAGATTATTTTTGCCTTAGTTTCCTGAAGAGGTTGGGTCCTAGCTAAACTGGTCTCTGATCAGACTTCCCACTCCTTCAAGGGATGGCTTCTGCTTTTGTACCGTACAATGCTTTAGGGACCTGATTGCTCAGAAATGCCCACTTCTTTGTGTCCTGTCTTGTGTGAAGCTATTAGCTGTCAATTTGAAGCTGGGGTGACCTTAACTGAAATTTAAAATATTTTTTCTATTCTTTCAAACCTTTTAAAATTCTTTGTTCATTTTCTGTTCTCAGCCCTTTCCTGCCAGCTGGGTTTCCTTGAGCCTTCTCTCTGGACATGTTGTGTCCTGGGATAGACCCTTCCATATCTAGGGAATAACAGAAATCCCCAGGGTCTGAGGCTTGAGATGACCTTACTTGTTGCTTGCAGAAACCTTTGGCCACAAGACCTGCTGAACCACTTGCAGTGGAGTTTGCCTGAATGGATGGAATTGTTCATTCAGGCAAACAAATACAGTGTAAATATGACCGAGCAAATAATGTTTGATCAGGTTTGTTAAATGCAAACTACTCCTTGCTGTGTTAAAGGACTCTTGCCTCGATAGAAGAAGGACCATAAACATGAGTTGAGGACTAAAAGGCTTATTAATATTTAATGCTGCTGCTGAGCATTATGCATACTGGGTAATGGGTGAGGATCATGGTTCAATTAATGCTTTCCTGTGGTGGTTTGGTCTGTTGCTGAACCACATCCGTCCTGCCCTGCCCTTGCTGGGGAACGCCAGCCAGGCTGTGCTGACAGCTTAGTACAGCACAGAGGAGCAGCTGGCGGGCGTGAGGCAATGTGGGGACTGCTCTGCTGTCAGGAGCCTGCACAAAGGAGATGTTGTGCTTCACCCTGGCCATCTGCTGAATGAGCCTCTTGGCTGCCCCTGCTGCTTTCTGCAGAAAACAAGTTTCCATTTTTGAGTGATGTATTTCTTAAAGAGCCTTGTGCATGTGGAAGGATCGTGCGGGCTGCAGCCAGCCCCACTCTGTTCCTTGGGATCCACAGCACTTCCAGCACTCCAGCAGTCTGCCCACCCTTTCAGGGGGCTTTGCTTTATTCTGTAAGCAGTTTGTTTCCCTGGCTGATGTTTTTACTTGAGAGCCACTTTGGGAATATAGTTTACAGCTGATCATCCCTTTTAGGACATCTTGTGCTTGCATCATGAACTACAATTCTCCTCCCTGCAGGGCTGGAGCTGGAGCTGCAGTTCTTCTGGTCTTTTCCCAGTTTAGAGAGTCCCAGTCCAACCAGAAGACTGCTCCCAGCAGCACATGTTGCTTTTGACCCCAGGGAAGCTGTTGGGTACTGTGCTGGAAGGTGGTGCTGGGTGCTGTACCCGTGGAGTGGTGCTGGCAGGCCATGGTGGCCCTCCCTGCTCAGAGATGCCCAGAGCCAGCCATGCAGGGGACACTGGCCATGGGCCACAGTGGCTCTGCCACCTGGCCAGCACCTTGTCTGTCCGAGGAGCTGGGCTGCATGTCCTGGGGGCTCTGGATGCTGGCTGCACTGTTCTGGATCACCACCCACTCACTGTAACTCCCGGGCCTGGGCTGGGCCATGGGAGGCCATGGGGTGCTCAGCTCTGACATCTGGCAGTGCCAAACATGGCTGGAGCAGCCTGTCCTTCTGCCCTAAGCTGTCCTGTGGGTGCCTGGAGCAGGGCCAGTGGCAGATGTACATCCTCTGCCTCCTGTACAGCTTCTTGGGCCACATCTGCACTGTAGTAGGAGCAGTGCTTGCCAGCCAGCTCAAAATCCATGTAGGCAAGGCTCCCTGTGTCAGGGGTCACCTTGCAGCCTCCTTCCCAGCCTCTGCTGTGGCCTTGGGGCCCTGTGCTTGCATGCTTGAGATGCTCCCCTGGGGTACTGGGCCTGAGAGCTTGAGATTTTGGCAGCCTGGCTCAAGACATTGCAAATACAGCCCCTCATATGGGGGGCTGTGAGCTGATGCCTGAGGTTTTGCATTTCTGGGAGATTCGGCTTCCCTGTGCTATTGTGTTTCTCCCCAGATCCTCAAAGATGCCTACATGGCTGTTGCCAACATCATCTGTTTCCTGCTTATCCTCTTTCCCCCATGGCTACCCGGGTCTGAGAACACAGCAGGTTTGTGCAGAGATGCTCTCAGAGCAGGTTGGCAGCAGCCTGCTCAACCAAGGGTTTCAGGGAGCACCACATGCCCCTGGCTGGGCAGCCTGGTGTGGGCACCTTGGGGACAGCGGTGCCCAGGGTAATGGCATGGCACCCTGGATGAGCAGGGGGTGGCTGGGTGGCTCCTGGGACAGCTGAGGAGTGGGGGACCCAACACAGCCCACAGGGCATGATGGGGCAAAGCCTGTCCACAAGGATGATGCCCTGAAATCAGCCCATGTCTTGTGCAGCTCTGCCCCATCAGCAGCAGAGGCAGCTGTGGGATGGCCTGCTCACCATCACCTTGCTCCTGTCCATGGGTGCTGGTGGGTCTCTGCTGGCACCCAGCCTCCCTGGGAGCAGCTCCATGGAGCCCAGCAGAGCCTGCTTGGGGCAGTATTCGAGGTGAGCTGCCCCCTCTTCATCCTTGCTAGGGCCACGGGCAGTGGGCAGAGCCTGTGTGAGCACAGGCAGTTGCCAGATTCCAAGCACTGCTAAGTTCCATTTGGTTCCATTTTCCTGTTTAGATCCCTCAGTGCTGCCCAAGCTGGCATCTTGGCTTCCCAGGGTTTTGTGTGCCTGGGGTGACCCAGACTGGTCAGGGGTACTTTTTGGTCCCTCAACCCCTTTATCCCAGGGATGGGGGCCGGGAGAGGCAGCATCTGCATGCTACAGCACTCCTGGTCTGGCCGGAGAGGGTTGAAGTCCCTGGAATCACCTGCTCCCAGCCCGGTGTGCTGGGCTTTCCCTGTCCGGCTCTTCTGATGCTGCCTCCATCAGCTTGGGGCTCAAGGTCAGTGCCTGTTCCTGGCTCTTCAGATGCTGTTTTCCTCCTGCCCTCACCTCCCCGTGGGGCTCTGCCCGGCTGCAGTGTGTACATTAAGGCATCCACCCTATATAGAATGATAAAACCATTCAGGTTGGAAAAGACCCTTGGGATCACAGAGTCCAACCATCATCCTACTCTACAAAGTTCTCCCCTAAACCATATCCACCAACACCACACCCAAGTAACCCTTAAACACATCCAGGGATGGTGACTCCACCACCTCCCTGGGCAGCCTATTCCAGTGTCTGACCACTCTGTGAAAAAATTTCTCCTAACGTCCAGTCTAAATCTACCCTGTTGCAGGAAATGGGCAAGACTCATACTTTTTCAGAGCTTCCCTGCTACTTCTCACTAGTTTTGCTTAGTTTCTTCTAAGGGTGTTTTCCCCTCAAGCTCCTGCTGTTGGCTGCAAGAGGGTTTTGGTGCAGGGAGAACTGTGCTGGTGCAACGTTGGCCCCACTTCTGCCCTGGAGGTTCAGAAGGCTGGGGCTGTCCTTCACCCAGTGAATCCCTAGGCTGTCCATCTACTGGAAAACGTGCTTTGCAGAGTCTGTTTTGGGAGACAACAGCATTTTTTACTCTATCCTTGATAATGGAAGCATGGTGGGTGAGCAAGTAAGTGGGATGCCAGGATGCCCTCACCAGCTGTAAACCCCGGAGTTGTTCTGCATGGGGTGCTGTGGCTCTTACAATGCTGCAGTCATGGCAGGTGCACCAGCCTCACTCCTCCCAGCTTGACTGAGCCAGCACTACACAAAGCGAGTTCTTT